ACCCTGAAATGGCTAGAATTATGCAACAATAGCTTTCACTTTGCTGAACAGCATATGAAAGCATAATGTTAGTTATTTAAGACTCCGTGTTGAGCTGGAAACTTTCAGATATTTCTGAATTTTATTAAAAGTTTATATATATATATATATATATATATATATATATATGTTGTGGGAACTCGCTTCTTTGGTAGAGCTTTTCTTTTCAAAAGCACACAGCAACTCACTTCTTTTTAAGGGCCTTTTTGCCCAATTTTATTTACAAGAAAAAGTTCCATAAAGGCTTCCCGCGCAGGGGTATCCACTATCACACAAATTAAACAATACTCAGCCTTCTGGCAATCTCAGGGATACTGCTCTATGTCTGTCTCCTGCAGACTCCTTCCAAAAGGTTTTTGCACACAGCAAACCTCTAGCACACAGCTAGTCTGGCTTCCACCTCTCCTTGGTGAAGCCCACCTGACTCCAAGGCAGAGACCTCCTGTCTGCCGGGGTGGAGCCCTCCTGACTCCTGTCTGCCGGGGTGGAGCCCTCCTGACTCCTGTCTGCCAGGGTGGAGCCCAGAACCATGGCCCGGCCTCCACAAAAATGGCCTGCATGCACCTGTGCAATCAGCGCACTGGCTGATCTCAAAACATGGGCCCAGGACTGGAGACTTCCACCATGGCAGGATACTGCACTGCCTACTATATATATATATATATATATATATATATATATATATATATTATATATATATATATATATATATATATATATATATATATATATACACATATATATATATATAATATATATATATATATATATTTTGATACAATATAAAAATATATCTCAAACTTATTTTTTTTTTTTTCATTTTGGAGAGAGTATGGGATGGTTAAAATTTTTGTAAAGTTTTTTCTTGTCTATGTCCCGCAAGAGATACTTTGCCTTCTGTCCCAAAGGCACTATAGTAAAGGAGAAGAAATCTCGCCAAGTGAGGGCAAATGCCCTGTTAGACAGATGTTGCCACTGCAAGTATCCCCATTAGAGGAGTATTCCTTTGTCTTTAGTGATGGCGGCTTAACAACACATAGGTGTATAGAGGGGGACAATTTGGTCTGGTTGAAGAGGATTAGTATACCCAGAATGGTGGATGACATTGATTAGATTTGTTGAGACTGGCAACATGCAACATTGTTATCCCAGTGGAACACACTTGTTGTGGAGCATATCAGTTTATATGAATTTGGGCTGTGTTAAGGACTATTACTGGAGATGTGTTACATTATTTGGGACAATTCACTCCAAGCAGGAACAGCCATCTGTATATTAATGTATGCATATTTGCCACACCTTTGAAAATCCCCTTGACTCTAATAAACTATTGATATACATTAACCCATATAATTGTCCTGCTGGCAATCACTTTGGGTTACCGCCTTGCACTCTCAAAATTTGTGGTGATACTTTAGGTTATTCTCTGCCTCCAAGAATACAAGGTCCTGAGGAAGCAAATAATGCATAACATGTCAACCTCTTGGAATATAACTATTGGCATAAGAAAATGATAAGCATAGAAACAGTTGTGCTCAAAAGTTTGCATACCCTGGCAGAAATTGTGACATTTTGGCATTTATATTGAAAATATGACTGATTGTGCCAGAAAGAAGCCTTTACTGAGCCAATGCTACAAAAAAAGCATGACAACACATAGACACTCCTTACCAGGAGGCATTGGCATTGGCACAGTGAATGTTTCTTTCTGGCAACTCGACTACACAGCTCATTTTTGTTCAAGTATTGTTGTTTGATGCTCCTTAGAAAAAAACAAAAATCACACAGTCTTTTTCCAGAGCAGCCTCTATTTTTCTGAGGCTACCTGTGGGTTTTTCTCTGTATCCCAAACAATTCTTCTGCGAGTTGTGGCTACTATCTTTTTTGGTCTACCTGACCTTGGCTTGGATCAAGAGATCCTCCAACTTCTTTCCACTTCTTATAAGTGATTGAACAGTACTCACCCAGCATATTCAAGGCTTCAGATATATTTTTATATAATATTTCATCTTTGTAATGTTCCAATACCTTGTTACACAGGCCTTTTGTTGTGATTTCAGTGAGATTTTGAATAAAGTTTTTATATTGTTGTATATATACAGTACATGTGTCTGTCCTCTTTGGTACCAATAAAGTCCTAAGTTTTTGGGGTTTTGGAGGTATAAGATTAAGTGATGTGGTACCCCAAATATCAGTCTACATTTAAATATATCACCTTCTTACCTTTATTAGTGACAACTGTAAAATGTTTGTTTTCCCATCACCTTCTGTCCCAGTTGGTCATTAGAAAGTAAAAATAAGGCGAATTTACACGAGAGGAATACATAAAAAAATTGGCCAATTAAATTATCACTAGGCACACTGGCTACATAAAAAAATTGGCCAATTAAATTGTCACTAGGCACACTGGCTCCAGTTTGGCAGCACTCCACAACATGAGAACACCCCTTGGAAACGTGGAATGGAAAAAAACAGAATTGTCAATTCATGCATATACAGGCAATTGAGAGCACCAAGCATCAAAGTGTTCAAAGTTTTATTGATAACATTTTTCATAGCACAGAAAAAAAAAAAAATATCAGCAAAGGCCAAACAGACCACCCTTTCATCAGGGCTCAGGAACTTCAACTGCACATAAATGGGCATAGATAAGCAGAACCTAGACAAATCTCTAACGTGGTTTTTGTTTGCAACAGTTTCACAAGGCAAGTTATACCAATGTTAACAAGGGCAGCAAAGGGCAAATCTGTACTGGTGAATTGGTGATACAGATACCTTAAATCTCCTAATATGAGTATGTAAACTATACCTTGGATCAGTGACTTAGAAACCAGTTTTTAAAAGCAATAGCTGCTAGACCTATGTTTTAGATGAACCCACAATTTAGGTTGGCTTTGCACCTAGGTATGTTAACATGTGCTACATTAAGTCAACCTGTTCTTTTTTAGTGTGTTACCTTGCGTCGTGTTGGATTGTAGAACAAGTGCACTGTGGAGGTTCTTTGGGGTGCAATTAAAATGAATGGCACCACAATGCACAAACGTATGTGATGTACATTACGTCAAACTACAGGGCAACTAAACAGCATAACCACTTAGAGTTCTTTCACATGTGCATTGAGTCTGGATCCGTCTGTCGGTTTTTCAGACAAATTCAGACTGAACAACAATGTACTGTATATCTGTGGACAGACAGATGTCAGAGTTAATATATGTGCTCAGAAAAAGGCATAAAAGATATTCACCCTTTGCTTTCAGAAAATATGTAATGTTTGGGGGTTCTAAGTAATTATCTTGTAGAAAAAAATGCTGATTTTTGCATGTATGTGAGAGATGTCAGAATTGGCTTGGGCAGCAAATCATTAATATTATAAAACTTCTCTTGTAGCTTTTATGCCATATTTATATACATATACGATGCATATAATATAAATGACAAAAATATGGCAGAAATTCCTTCTGTATGCATTTACTTCTGAGACAGAAAAATTAGGTTAAGTTTTATTGTTTTAATAAATGAAAGGTAAAAGGTAGAAATTGTAGTGTACAATTTACTATTTCTAATTTAATCCCAAATCTATATTCTGGTTGATTAATGAAATACATGGATGTAAATTTTAGATCTATATAATTTTTTTTTCTTCCATGTGCCCATTAATCATTGTCAAGAGCACTAATAATTGTACAATAATTAGCTGAGCTCTCATATAAACTACTCTGACTATTAAATAGGCAAGGCTGTTGAATAAAATAATAAGTATGTGTCATTTTCTTATTTTTCAAGTCTAGAATTACAGTCAGCGAATAGTTGTAAATCATATTACTAAATTTGGAAGTCATAGTCCATTAATGTAAGTCATGTGCTATTAAAATCATTACAGTCCTAACTGTAACCTTTTTAAGCAACTGTGAAAGATTGCTCTCCTGGATTCTGTAACCACAAATAGCTGACAAATTATAGGCTGGAATCACAAGCAGCAAACCATAGCCACAAATTCATCATTGTTACGTTGATTTCATCTTTGTTAATGTACCTGAAAAACACACACTTTCACAAGTTCTCCTTTACTTGTACAATATATTATAATTCACCAGATCATATGGGAGTATTAGTTAATTAATACGACACACCTAAGTACTGATTGAAATTAACTGTCCACTGCAGGAAGGTTATCCTACTGCTAATTTTACACAGGCAGATTTCCACAAGTGAATAGCATAAAGTATAGCTTTTATGAATGCATGGATATTTTCTCTATACATTAGGCAGTAGTGGCAAGACACTTGTGATATCTGTAATTAAATAAACAAATTGATTCTAGACACGTTGCATCACACAGCTGAATTGTTTGTTGGCTATGAGTTCAGGTAAACTTTGTTATTTGCTGTTGTTTAACCACTAGCCTACAGGGCACTTATACCCCCTTCCTGCCCAGGCCAATTTCCAGCTTTCAGTGCTGTCAGTGCACTTTGAATGACAATTGCCTGGTCATGCAACACTGTACCCATATGAAATTTTTATCATTTTTTTGTGACAGATAGAGCTTTATTTTGGTGGTATTTAATCACCTCTGGGTTTTTAATTTTTTCTTAAACAAACCAAAAACCACAGACAATTTTGAAAAAAACATTTTTTTCCTAGTTTTTGTTATTAAATTTTGTAAATAAGTGATTTTTTCTCCTTCACTGATGTGCACTAATGAGGGTGCACTGATAGGCTGCACTGATGGACACTGATAGGTGGCACTGATGGGCACTGATGAGGAGGCACTGGTAGGTGTCACTGATGTGTATTGACAGGCATCATTGATTGGCACTGAAAGGCAGCACTGATACATGGCACTGATATATGGCACTGATAGGCAGCACTGATAGGCGGCACTGACTGGCACTGATAGGCGGCACTGACTGGCACTGATGGGCGGCACTGACTGGCACTGACAGGCACTGATAGGCAGCACTGATGCGCACTGATAGGCGGCACTGATTGGCAGCACTGATAGGTGGCACTGATTGGCACTGATGGGTGACACTGAAAGGCAGCTCAGATGGGCACTGATATGTGGCATTGATGTGCACTGGTGTGCACTGAATAGTGGCACTGATGTGGCACTGGCACAAGGCACTGATGAGCACTGACATAAGGCACTGATGGACACTGACAGGTGGCACTGCTGGGGCTACACTGATCAGCAGGGCACACTGATCATCAGTGCCCTGATGATCAGTGTACATGTCCCCTTCGCGGAAACAGCTCGAGAGGAGAGAAATGCTGATTACCAGCATTTCCCTGTTTACATGTGATCAGCTGTGATTGGACACCGCTGATCACATGACCAAGCCGACATCTTCAGCTCTTTCCGTGATCGGTGATCTGCTGTGTCGGAGGGACACAGAGCACCGCCGATCGCCGCGCTGCGCACTCTCTGAGCCGCGCATGCACAGTGAGATTGGGAGGACGTCATATGACATCATCCCAGAACGAGAGAACCACCTTGCGCCCGTCATATTACTATATGGCAGATGGAAGGTGGTTAAAAAGTTTATTCTACCCCTTTATCCTGTCCATCTCTTAGTTTTCATCAGTGAGTACTCACTCTACGCTCTTGATATTTAGCCCTTATAATGAATGACTTCAAGGTCTATCCAGGACTTCCAACATAAAAAAGATTGCAGGTAAAGCAAAGAAAACATGCTTGCTTGCAGTGTTTTCCTTTCCATAATGTTCTACTCGCTTGCAGTGTGCCTTTGAACTTCCTTATAAATCTGACTAGTCAGTAGGTATGAGCTCAAGGTTCAGTCCTTCCCCAAAACGTCCTTAGGCTTTCCTCATCCAGAGATTGATGATTTCTCGAATGACTACCATACTCAAATTTTTCGGCAGCTATAATTACCATAACCAGACACTGAAAACAGCAATTGGCACCCACTCCATCCAAAAACTATTGCCATAGTTAAAGTGGTTGTAAAGGCTCAAGGGTTTTCACCTTCATGAATTCTATGCATGAAGGTAAGAGACCTTCTGTGTGCAGCTGCCCCCCAGTTTCCAATACTTAAATGAGTCCCCTTCAAGCCAGCAATGTTTTTGACAGCCTCTGCTGTCTGCCAACTCTTCCTCCTCATTGGCTACGACAGCAGCAGGAGCCCATTGGCTCCCATTGCTGTCAATCACAGCCAGTGAGTCAATGAGGAAAGAAAAGCAGGAGGTACTGAGCCACGATTCTATGAGTATTATGGACACATAGAGGAGCAGCTTGGGGATGAGCACGCAGCAATGCCCCCCGAGCGAGCAGCTTTCCCTGGGGGCACTTCTTGAGAGGGAGGAGCAACGGCAGGGGGCTGCTCTGTACAAAATCACTGCACAGAGCAGGTAAGTATAGACATGTTTGTTATTAAAAATAAAAACAAAGCTTTAGTCTTACTTTAAAACACACTATCAGTATGAAAAAATGTTGGCTCTAAGGAAAGATATCTATCTTACATTAAAAAATATGTGGAAACCCTGGTCTGATTGGAATGCTCAATGATCCCAGTATGTTATAGCTCTAGCTATGTATATATGTTATCTGGATCACTGTAGATTCCATTTTGTTCGATTATTTCTTTTTTACTCAAACTTATCTTATTTAACTGATGCTATACTACACAACTGCACTGCAAACGACAGTTGCCTTTTATAGCTTCTTTTACAAATGCCAATTATTATTATTATTATACAGGATTTATATAGCGCCAACAGTTTACACAGCACTTTACAACATAAGTGTAGACAGTACAATTACAATACAAGTTAATACAGGAGGATTCAAAGGCTCCTGCTCATTAGAGCTTATAATCTAAGAGGGAGGATCAAGAGATACAAAAGGTAATAACTGTGGGGGGTGGGCTGTTGGACAAATTACATGTACAGTTGTTAGCTGGGGGCAGGATAGGCCTCTCTGAAGAGATGAGTTTTCAGGGATTGTCTAAAAGTGGACAGAGATGGAAATGGTCAGACACATTGGGGAAGGGAGTTCTAGAAGATAGGAGTGGCTCTAGAGAAATCCTAGAGGCAAGCATGGGAGGAGGTGACAAGGAAGCTAGAGAGCAGGAGGTCTTTGGAGGAATGAAGAGAACAATTTGGTTGGTATTTTGAGTCCAGGTTAGTGATGTAACTAAGAACTGAGTTGTGGATGGCTTTATAAGTTGTTGTAAGTATCTTGAATTTTATTATTTGGGTGAGCGGGAGCCAGTGGAGAGACAAAGGCAAAGAGGGGTGGCAGACAATGAACAGTTGGTAAGGTGACTAGTCTGGCAGCAGCATCCACGATGGACTGGAGGGGGGATAGCCTATGCAAAGGCAAGCCAGTGAGGAGAGAGTTGCAGTAGTCAAGGCAGGAGATGACCAGGGAGTGAGTTAGAAGCTTTGTGGTGCCATTGGTTAGGAAGGGCTGTATCTTGGAGATGTTGTGGAGGTTGAGGTGGCAAGCTTGGGACAGCGATTGGATGTGGGGCCAAAAGGATAGTTCAGGGTCCAGGATTATACCCAGAACCCTGGCATGTTGGGACGGGTTGATGGTTTAGCTGTTGATTTTGACAAAGAACTCAGTGGAAGGGGCATGCAGGGGAGGAAATATTATGAGCTCAGTTTTGGATAGATTAATTTTCAGGAAGTGGCATGACATCCAGGCTAATATGTATGTTAGTAGATTAGTGATGCATGAGGAGACTGATAGAGTGAGCTGAGAGGTAGAGAAATAAATGTGGGTGTCATCAGCACAGAAATGGTATTGAAAGCCATGGGAGGCAATCAATTGCCCCAGAGAGGAGGTGTAGATTGAGAATAGGAGGGGTCCCAGAACAGAACCTTGGGGAACCCCAATTGAGAAAGGAAGAGGAGAAGAGGAAATAAAATTGTGAGTGACACTGAAGGTGTGGTGGGATAGAAAGTCACAGAGACTAAACGAGTACAGTTTTTTGAGGAGGAGGAAGTGGTCCACTGTGTCAAAGGCAGCAGAGAGGTCCAAGAGTAGGAGTAAAGAATAGTGTCAATTAGTTTTAGCTCTCAGTAGATTGTTTGCAAGTTTGAGGAGAGCAGTTTCCGTAGGGTGCTGAAAGCAAAATCCAGACTGAAGGGGATCAAGAAACTTATTCTCAGTGAGGTGGTTGCTCAGCTGGTTGTAGACCAGGCATTCAAGGAGTTTGAAGGAGAAGGGGAGTAAGGATATGGATCGTAGGTTGTTAAGATTGGCAGGGTCTAGTGAGGGATTTTTAAGTATGAGGGTGACTAGTGCATGTTTTAGAGAATTGGAGAAGATGCCAGAAGAGAGGGAGAGATTGAAGATGTAAGTTAGAGAGTGTAGGCTAGAGCCAGGAGGGTGACCGTAGCATTTGCGAAGGAACAGTATCCAGGGGGCACGTGGTTAGGTGGGCATTAGAAAAATGTTTAGCAACCTCATCTATAGTAGTGGGGTTGAATGCGGGTAAAGTATTGATTGTCCCTGTGGATGTGGAGTGTTAAGTAGGGGCAGTATCTGCGCGAAGGAGATCTCCTCATGAATTGTATCGATTTTCTTTTTGAAGTGATTGGCAATCTCCTCGGCAGTGAGTGAGTTAGTGGATGGAGGCAGTGGAGGATGAAGAAGAGAGTTGAAGGCAGAGAAGAGTTGATGGGGATTGGATGAGAAGGTGTTAATGGGAGTAATGAAATAGGTCTGCTTGGCAGTGTGGAGGCAGGAATAGTATTTCAGGAGGGCAGATTTATATTGGTTGAAATATTTCTAAGACGCACAAGAGCGCAGCTATGTTTTTTGAGACCTCTGATGTCATCTGTTTGCCAAGGTTGTAGGGGTCGGGGCCTGACTGTGTATGTAGTGAGGGGGCGAGCTTGTCTAGGAAGGATGACAGTGAACTGTTGTAGACAGAAGTGGCTAGATCTGGGCAGGAGAGGGATGATATTTTGTCATAGAGGTGGTCTGTAGCAGAGTAAAGAAGAGAAGGGTTGAGGTGGCAAAGGTTTCTATGGGTAACTGTTAGGCGGTTGTTGGGAGATATAATAGGGGTATTGCTTCCACTTTTACACATGACAGCTTCCCGTTGTCAATGGTTGTTAAAGATGTTGGTGGGTGCAGGCTGAGTCATTAACAACCAGTGACACCACTGGTCCAATTCACTAAAAATAGACATGAATCCTCAGCCATATTAGCAAAGGGGTGGGGGAAGTTTATTTTTACAAATGCATACTGCTTTTATGATTTTAATGGGGACCTCATACAGAATAAAAGATGCTTGGGAGGGACCTCTAAAAACTGATGCCAGATCCTTAATTCGAGCATACAGGGGGAGGGGACAAGCATGTAGTCACATGCCCTCAACATGGGAGGTACCTTTTGGACCCTGGCAAAGCACTTTGTATCCATGTTGATAAGGACAAGGCCCAAGTTGAGGACAAGGGCCTTTTCCTCACAACCTGGATGGTGATTTGGAGGGTCTGTGGGAGGGGAGCTTATCGTAATCTGGAAGTTCACTTTAACAATAAAGAGACTGCCAGATACTGCCTTCCGATGTGAATGAGTATGGGGTACATTGTAAAAAAGTAATCTAGAACTAAAGACACCCAAATGTTTCACAAGTCCTTTATTTAAAAAAAAATTAAAATGTCCCTCATTGTAAATCCAAAAGAGATAGGATATTTCTGTGCTTAACCTCAAATAGCTTTACACATAAATATAACCCCATCAGGAGCTAAAGGGGTTTCATCATATGAACGCTAAAAAACTGAATCAACCTTCTGCGTGCTGCTATACATCCTTACACATTTCTAGCAAACTTTGTATAAAAACATGGGATTTGTGGTTCACATAAATTGCAATACATGTTTAAGCTGGCCAGCTGTATCTAAATAATCCCTCTCTGACCAGTCCCTACTCTATTCTGCAAAATTCAAATTACTTACTTGCTTATAGCATACTTCAATGGATATAGTGCCAATATGGGGTATATATAAGACACAGTTGTAGAAGAGCTACAGACACAGGTCTGGTCACTGACTTTCACTGCAATAAAAGCAAGTAAGTAATTTGCATTTTACATAGTTAGCTAGCTTACACATAAAATCTGTTTAATGCAGAGTTTGCTAAAAATGTGTAAAGGTGTATAGCAGTGTGCAGAGGGTTGATGTTTTGGTGGGCATATCCCTTTAGCACCTGATGGGTTATATACACACGTGTAAAACCATTTTGGATTTTGAACACAGACATATTGTATTTCTATTGCAGTGCAGTTAAGTAACCAGACCAGAATCTGTAGCTCTCCCAGTGATGTCATTGATAAAAGGGCTGTACATTTATTTCTACTTTAAACACCCATATAATCTTATGGGGATATTGTGTTGAAGTGAATAGTCTAGTGACAGGGTCTTTTCACATCTCCCATAATGAGTTACAGAATAGAATGCAGGTTCCTGTGAAAAGAACTGAAAGTCTTTGATTA